TCTTCAACCCCCAAAACTTTAAAGAGTGGCGGGTGGGAGATTTCGGGGATTTAATGCCCCCCCATCTTAGGTTTGGGGGGGTTGAGGAGCCTTGCCTTAGAGAAGCCAAGGGAAGACATTCAGAAATGAATTTTACATTCTGTTCCAGTCCCACGATACAGCTTTTCCTAGTCTGCACACCTTCAGACTGCAGACAAAGGACAGGAAATGTGAATTTTCCAATCAAAGACTGCTAGTATAAACCCAACTTTACCTAACCCTATACAAGAGAGAAGATTAGCCAATTTTTTATAAGCAGCAAGGATATTTTCACATGAGGTAGAATTTGAAGATTAAATTCTATACCTGTCATCTGAAGGAGTATAACCCACTACTTGGCATGCTTTAGGTGATGGAATTTTATGAATCGTTGAGTGTTATTCATGAATGCACACCCTACAATCTTCTTTTGTTGAGCTTTTAAAACTCAATATAAATAAAAGGACAGATTATAGGCAAACTTCACCAACAGAGTTCCTGACTTTGAGTGGTTCCTCTCTACATAGGAACAATGGGTAACAGGCTGCAACGCATCAAAGTGGAGAATACGGAAGAAAATCGCCGTCAGTTCCGTGATATTCTCTTCTCTTCCGACCGCTCCATCAACCAACAGATTGGGGGGATTATTTTCTTCCATGAGACTCTCTATCAGAAGGACAACACTGGAAAACTCTTCCCAGCTGTCATTAAGGACAAGGGCATAGTGGTTGGAATCAAGGTAAATAGTTTCAACATCCTTCCCCAGAGCTAGTTGCTGCAGAAAAGTAGAAGTGCCCAGCTTTTATCTGTGCTTCTATTGTAGGACTGATTGCAGGACGCACAAACGCTCTGAAAGCAAGGATGGTGCAAAGTAAAGCCGGGGGTGGTGGTGCTGCTGCTGTTTGTGCCTTTTGGTTGAGTTACACAGAGAACATAGTTTATATATAGTAAATCTGCTGGGTGAAGGCAATTTCATAACTCCAACATATATTGATACTGCCCACATTCAAATGATCCAGGCTTTACTACATTTTGTGATATAACTGCATTTAATGCTGTGTTAATTATCCACAGCTGGATAAAGGTGTGGCTCCATTGGCAGGAACTAACAATGAAACCAGCATTCAAGGTAAGCTTTCTTTTACATCTTAGAATTTTCAGAAACATTCTAGCGCCTAAGATAAAAAGGTAGAAGAACAAGAAAAAAAGAATGCAACTCTTTTGAGTTGAAGGGAAACACTTCTACAAGGATTGAAAGCAAGAACAAATTAATATTGGGAGGAATGGAACCCTGGCTTTGGAAGGCAGGATTGCATTTTAGTCCTGAAAACTCAAGAAATGAGGAATCCAAAAAAAATAGAATTTATGTTCAAATAGGAACACAGTTACCTACTTACGGTAGCAAAAGCAATCATTGTCACATGCCCCAAAGGGCAGTACTTATAAAGATTTATGTAAAAAATCAAAATTCTTGTCTGAAGCTTCCTCAAGACTACAAAACAATTCAACTTTTCTACCTGGTATCCTAAGCTTCTAGAAGTTTGTTTACATGGCACTCTTATCCATGGTTGACTCAACCAAGAATTTTTCAATGAAACCAACATACTGGATTTTCATGACACGCTGAGCCATAAACTAACCTCACAGACTGAGTTTGCTGCATTGGGAAAATCCAGCTGCTAAGATAATTTCTGCATTTCCCTTCAGGTCTGGATGGGCTCGCTGAGCGCTGTGCCCAGTATAAGAAAGATGGAGCAGATTTTGGCAAGTGGCGTGCCGTGCTGAAAATTACAGACACAACTCCCTCTACTCTCGCCATCCAGGAGAACGCTAACATATTGGCACGCTATGCTAGTATCTGCCAACAGGTATAATAAAGTCTCCACAAGTATTTGCATGCTTGGGACAGCTTGTCTAGGGGCGCTAATGAGCATGCCCGTGAGTGTCTTTTACTAGTTTTAAGCTAGCTAAGCATAAATGCAGCCTATCTAAATTTCAATTAAATTCTCTCTCTGTTTAAACACCAGCATGGCTTAGTTCCTATTGTGGAACCTGAGATCCTAACCGATGGGGACCATGACCTCCAGCAATGTCAGTATGTGACTGAAAAGGTAAGGGGGTGTTGTTATAATTACAAAGAGTCTGGCCCACTTTTCGGTCTAAAATTAAATCCCCAAGAGTACAATGGTCTTATCCCCTGGTGAGCAGCGCTCACTCTCTTCAAATATATGTCTAATCTTCAGGGTTTGGTTTTTTTAAGTCCAAACTGTTTTGTCTTTCTCATAATATTCACTCTACTCCTAAGTTATACCATCGTTAAAAAAAATTAGGAACGCCATCTCAGTTACATGGGATACCATTAGAGGTTTTTGCAGACTTGTAGTTTTATTAGAAATAATTAGGCAAGAATGCACATCACACATGACAATATATGCCGGTTTTGAAATGCTGGGCTAATGATTTTTGAAGTGAAATGAGTAAATATAAACAGGTTTTCTCCATTTGTTTAAAATATAAAACAAGTATGGGGAATATTACTGAACCACACCTCCCCATATTTCTTGCCCTGGGCCATAATGGCTGAGGCTAAAGGGAGTTACAGGTTAACATCTAGAGGACCTGATTATGTCAGTATATAAGCGAAGTATAATCAACAACAATGTGTTGCCCTACAACTCCTATCATTGCAGCCAGTGTGAGCATTAATGAATGATAGGAACTGTAGTCCAACACAGAAGGAAAGTACCAGACTGAGGAAGGACAGCCATATTGGGTAGCCGTGGAGACACTGAAGGAAGCTAAGCCTCTACGTGTTGCCAGACCATCTTGTTTGAGGGTGAAGCCTTAAGCACACTTATCTGGGAGCCACCACACTAAAAGAAGTGGGGTTGTAAGCATGTTATAAAGATTTTCCCCACCCCTTTTCCTTGTATCCCAGGTGCTGGCTGCTGTTTATAAGGCCTTGAATGACCACCATGTCTATTTGGAGGGAACGCTGCTGAAGCCCAACATGGTGACCGCTGGACAGGCTTGTCCCAAGAAATACACCCCACAGGACGTGGCCATGGCAACAGTTACAGCTCTCCTTCGGACAGTCCCCGCAGCTGTTCCAGGTAATTCTTCAGACCCTGTTATTTCAGCACCTGAAGTCCCCTCAGTCATTATTTCATTTCTGGTTTTTCTATCTAAATTAAGGACATTTTAAAGCTGAATTTGGGCATTCTGATCCAACCTTTCTTGCTGCCAAGCAGCAGATTTGTGAAGGGAAAAATGTGATGCTTTCATGCGAATATTCTATCCGTGGTGAGAACTGATTTAGGCACACCTGGCCTTTTTGCACTCACACTTGCCAGTCGTGTGCTTATCTAGAAGGAAGAGGCTGTAGCAGCCTGCTAAGCCTGTAAGGTGGAAGGCTGCAGTCTCCAACTTGCTGTTCTAGAAGCCTTCTGCTTTCGGGGAGTGACTAGATTGTTTCTGCTGCCATCTCCTGTCTTCCATGGGGTAGCTCACCCGGAATTCACCCCCTACTCTTGGTGTATGAGAGAGACAGTCCAGATTCATTTTAAATTAATTTTTAAAGAGCTACATGGCTTGGGATCAGGTTATTTGAAGGACTGCCTGCAATTGTACAAAACTGGCCTACTGGGGCGACAAAGACCCTTCTTGGGTCACCTAGGTCGGTCTAGGTGCGGTCTTTCTTGTGGCAGCCACATCTTTATTAAATCTCTTTGGTAGAAGGTGTTCCTGTCTTCCTTCATAATTACTTTTGAGTAAACCTGAAAGTTTCAGTCCACTTTTAAATGACTGCAAGATGTAGGTCCAAAATTTACCATCCCTAGTTTTAAATCTTGCTGGGTTTTGTTTTGTTTAAATTTGGCCTCTACTGAAATGGAATGTTTACAGCATAGTTTGTAGTTTGAATTGGCTGTATTTTTATTTTTTTTATTTTTTTTGTACAAATTCTTATTTATAAGCTTCCTTGAGAAACTTCTATCTTGAAAGGGGAATAAACATATTTTTGATAAGAAATCACTTTTCCTTGCTACTCCTATGTGTCAGCGAGTCAGACAATTAAGCTCAGGGGCGGCTCTAGTTTCAGTGGTGCTTATGCTTTGAGGCACATTTAAAAAAAAAGGTGAAGATGCCCTTGAGTGAAGTCTAATTCCATGTATTTTTCATGGCAAGGATATGGAAGCAGCTGGCAGTCACCTTCTTCAGGATGTGTTTTGAATTCTTAGTTTAGCCAACATATACAGCATCATGATTAATCCAGCACGGTTACTTTAGCACTTAGGAATTTGAGCCATCAGTATCTTGCACTCTGATTCGAACTGCAGGAATCTGCTTCCTTTCTGGGGGCCAAAGTGAAGAGGAGGCATCCATTAACCTCAATGCTATCAATCAGTGCCCACTGCCTAAGCCCTGGAAGCTGACCTTCTCCTATGGACGAGCTCTGCAAGCATCGGCTCTAGCGGCCTGGTCTGGCAAACCGGAGAATAAGAAGGCTGCCCAAGAGGCCTTCATCAAACGGGCAAAGGTAAGCCCAGCGTCCTCCAGAATCTCAAAGGTACCAAAGCAAAAGGAAGAGCAAAAGAATCGGTATATGTTTCAAACTGAAATATCCTTACTGTCAACCAAGCCATTTCTAGCATTTTGTTTTCACACAGTGCATCTTCCCTCAGTTGTTTTTTTTTTTTTTTTAATGATCCAGCTTACCTGCTAATATCACCATACCACCTGATAAACCCTTTGGAGGGCCTAATGATAAAGCATGCCCATAATTATAATAGTTTGAAAAGTGTGCCCAAGGCTGAAAAAGGTCATCTGTCCTAGTTTATCATGCACATATTTAAATGAGCAGTTAAGTGAGTAAACCCCACTTAAATGAGGTAAACCTGAGTTAAACCTAGCTCAGGGTGATATCTAAGCCCACCATGTCAACTTTAGTGAACAAGTCATAGTAGCTGCATTATAAAAGAGCCAGTTTGATTAAGGTGCTGGCTTAGAAACCAGGAGACCATGAGTTCTAGTCCCACCTTAGGCATGAAAGCTGGCTGGATGACCTTGGGCCAGTCCCTCTCTGTCAGCCCAACCCACCTCACAGGGTTGTTGTTGTGGGGAAAATAGTATTAGGTATGTTTGCCACCTTGAGTTATGTATAAAAAAGGTGGGAGTAATAATAATACTTCTATGAAAGCAGCATTAGAGTGGGATTTACACAGATGTGAGGATTTGCTCCCATTCTCTTGTAGTATATCTCATTCACAATTCACCTTGACTGACTCTATAGCTAACACTTGCATTTCTGCTCTTACCCAGCAATGATTCACTACTGTATTGCAGCAACCTATTATATATAATATACAAATATTTCAAATTTAATATATATGTTACTTTTCATTTGTAATATATACATTATATAAAATTATATTGTATAAATATATAATTACATATTATAGCATAGTTGACAAATATAGCCTGTGTACAGGTGTATTTTTCAATCAGTCAAATTGGCAGCTTAATTTCTTGTAGAAATTATTCAGTATAATTAAATACTGTAACAAGTAAGACCATACTTGGAAACATAAAGTGTTGCTTGGATTCACTGATTTTTCTCTGTTCTTAATTTTTTTTTAACACTAACCAGCTGTACCTTTTCCTTTTCTTTTTCAGATTAATGGCTTAGCTTGCAAAGGCCAGTATGTCACATCCGAAAAGAGCAGCGGAGCAGCCACCCAGTCACTCTTTAGTCCCAGTTACACATACTAGTTCATAAAGCACTGCAGTCAAGTCACCCTTTGTTACAGTTGGCAGAAGGCTGAAAGAGAAAACATCATTTAACCACATGCATACATTCATAAAGAACTGGACAGGTTTTAAGAATTTCATCTGTTGCTCTTTTTACGACCACTGTCTTTTTATAGTTACCTGCAGCCCCTGTCCTGTTACTGTTATTATCAGGGGGGGAAAGGGTGAATAAAATGGCCGTGTTGCAGAAAACAACAGTCAGGAAAGAGGAAACAGAGTGCCTTTTTCAGTCTATAAACTCTGAACAAATGTTTTATCACTCTGAAAAGATTAAACACCTGTGAAACTTTGGCCAAGTGTATATCTGTTGTTCATTCCTGGTCCCATTGCATTTTTGCCTTTCTGCGTGGCAGTCCACTGACCATATATGATGGCTTAACATAATCAGTGCTTGATGAATGTGATTAAAAAAAACAGGAAAAAACGCTGATAAAATAAAGGGTTGATTAAAAAAAAACAGGGCTCTTCAAAATACAGGGCCCTTCAAAATACCAGTAAGCTCTTCACATCTCAGGGGGAACTTCACTCCAGACGACAGGCGCTGCCACAAAGGTGTGCTTCTGGGGTCCCAATAGGTGGCTTTGTTTAATCAATGGAACCCGGAGCACGCCAACCCTGCCAGACTGAACCAGCCGGGCAGATACTACTATGGCAGGCATAGTAGTGTTACGGCTGGTTTATGGAATCGGGGAGCCCGGTGCAATGCCAGGTTTGGAGGTCTCCCTCAGAACCCTAGATTAACATTTCATATGGGTTCCTGCAAAAAAAGATCTTACGTTTTTAAAACAGAATACGCCCAGAACCTGAACAATTTTTTAAAGTACTTAGAAGACACTCATTGCATAGAAAAGCATCACACAGGGAAATCCTGCTTAGATGAATGATCCATTGGCTCAAACTACCTGTTGACTAAACCAGATTGTATAAGTTTATAGGTGGACCTGCCTGCTCAAAAACCCTATTGGCCCAAGGCAACATGAGATCCTTTGGGGGAGGAGCCAGACATAGTCTTAATTTTCATGCCCTTGCTTAACCACAGCCTTCTTCAGCTTCTGCTCTTAGGGAGCTTCCATTTTTCTGTGATCCAATACAGCTGTATACACTCTCCCCTGCCTCCCCCTTAAACTGGACCTGCATGGCGTAAGCTAATAAAAGCCGAGTGAGCTATTCCTATTGAATCGATTCTATGGATGCACACAGGAGTTTCACCACTGCACGTTAATAGATTGTACATATGAACACTACATATCTAATTTTGCCCTGTATCTATTTTACAGATGGCTTGATAGCACAGCTTTCCAATTTCAGAAATGCTAAGCGTGGCAGGACCTGGTTAATACTTGGGAAGGAAATCCCAGGGCTGAAGGGTAGACTGGGAAGGGAAAAGGAGAAAGGGAAAAAAAATAATAAAACATCCTAGAAGAAAGTAATAGCACCCCACTATTGTACTCTTTTCAAGCAAACTGCATGGATGTGTCTAGGAAGCAATCTGGAGTCACACTCACTTGGAAAGAGATTTTGTTTCTGTACTAGAGCATAATAATTTATTTGGTTTGGAACAAATCTGTTTTTCTCTCCATGCGCAGCCAAGGGAGCAATGTTTCGGTGTCCAGTTCTTTGATGTTTAATATCAGCAGAAGTTAGCGGACAGTTCATTTCTGTTTTGGCATAAATCCACCCGTTTGTGGGAATAGCGTTTGAAGATCATTGCTAAAAATGCACACGTGTACACAACGTTTAAGAACGTGCTACCAACATAAAGCGGCAATGCTTAAATAGATGCTCTTACGGGTGGTTTTGCACATACGCTGGAGTAGAAATAAAACAGCCTGACTTAAAATCTTGGCGAGGAGCGAGCCTCGCGGTCAACCGCGCTAACGGGACGGGCTGGACGATCTTCGCGGCTTGGAAGAAAGCAAAGCGTGGCAACCACGTCTCAGTCAGCCACCAGCCGCCTCCCGTCTGCAGCGCTCGCCCCACCAGCGCTGCCCGTTCTCCCGTGCCGACCTTTCGAGGGGCAGGACAAAAAGCCGCCGGAATGAGCGCATTTCACGGCGAAGTCTGAATCTCCGCCGGAGAGAGTGGAAGTCCGCCTCGCCGCGGCCAGGCAGCGCGATCTTCGCTTCTCTGCGGTGGAGAGAGGCAAGAAAGTCGCGCTGCAATGGAAACCCGTTCGATTTCGACAGTTGGACGGGCTCGGATGGCACCTGATGCTGACCACTTGCCAATAAAGGCTGCGACAGATGGTTCCTTTCGCTCTCTATTTTTTCCCGCTAACTTTTCCAGGGTCGGGAGGAAAAGAAAAAGAAAAAAGAAAGAGCACGCTCCGATTGCTGCGGTCACAGGGCTAGACAGCCAGTCGTAGGAAAGCCCCGCCCTTTGCTTTCCGATCAACGGCGGCGTCGCATTAAGGCAGTCCCGATCGTGCCCTGCTACTTCTACAGCATCCTGTCGCTACGGAGAGGAGCAAACTACAAATCCCACAATGCCAAGGGCTGCGGGAGGGCCTTCGTGCGCCCTTTCCCCCCGCGGCGCGGTCTGCGTGCCCTGCGAGGGGCGGTGCTTTCTTTGCGTCGGCGAAGATGGCGGCTTCCGTCGGGCTGCTGAGGGTGTGGAGGCGCCGGCTGAGTTTGGGGGTGCCTGCGCGCGGGAGTTTCTGGGGAAGACAGAGGTAAGTCAGATGTCTGTAGCCATCATGGGAAGAAAGAGGCGCGTTGTATGGGGACGGGAGCGAAGCGGAGGGGCAAATTCGGAAATGGGGCACGGTTGGCAGAGCTGAGTTGCAACAATTCGGGTGCCGCTAGGTGGCAGCAGAGAAAACGCGGAGATTCCTCTTCTCTGCTGCCGCCTTGCGCTCGCCCGGATGTTTGCAGACCAGCTACAGCCAAAGCTTCGCGGGAGAGTCCTTGGAAGTAAAATCTTAGTTTTTTTATTTCGTAGCTTTTACCCGGAGAGCCTCCAGCTGTGTGTTGAATGCCAGGCACGTTTAAGCCTAGTCCTTCACACTGCATCGTCCTATCTCTGCAGTTCTGCTTCTGGTATTCTGCTCTCTCCGGGGGATTTGTGTATTTTAAAAATCTTTTTTTAGCTTTTTTTTTTTTAATTTGTGATCATGTTTTTATTCTGATAATAACTTTCTGTCTTTTTGTAATGCCCGTTTTTATTTGCTTGTTATTTTAATTGTACACTGCCCAGAGTCGCTTTGTGAGATGGGCAGCTATATAAATGTGATAAAGAAATAAAGTTGCAATGGTTACAGCATTCTTCCCGGGCTGTTATTTTTCAGAACCTTTGATGTACAGTTCCACATTTCCTGCCCAGATGGTTGGTTAAATTCTTTAGCACTGACAACCTTTAGCTGTTTGGAAATGAAGGGGGAAAATTCCCCATGACCCCATTTACAAGTGGAGACCACACAATCTGTTGAGCCAAGTTTATTTGAAGAGCCCGGGACAGACCACAAGGCTCTGCCCACTGAAGGAGGGTACAAACAACCCTTATATGGTTGTATAATAAATGCTGACTAATAATGATGTCAAATGCCAGTCATAACACGGGTTAGATTTTCTGCTTACAGTCACTCATGCCCCTAGTCACTTCTAGAATGGACTACTGCAATGTGTTGTACATGAGGCTGCCCTTGAAGAGTATCTGGAAACTTCAGCTGGTACAGAATGCAACAGCGTGGGCAGTTATGTGCTCTCTGAGAACAGTACATATTACACCTCTGCTTCACAAGCTGCCAGTTTGCTTCTGGGTCTAATTCAAGGTGCTGGTTTTAACCTTTAAAGCACTTCATGGCATGGGACCAGGCTATCTAAGGGACTGCCTCTTCCCGGTTACATCAGCCTGCCTCATCAGACCTTGCAGAACAGACATGTTGTGGATACCATTGGCCAGGGACCTGCATTTGGTGGGTCCCAGGAGAGATGCCTTCTCTCCTGTGGCACCCATCTTATGGAATTTCCCTGAGATTAGATTAGTGCCATCCCTTTTGCTGCTACAGCAAAGACCTGGTTATGTGATCAGGCCTGGGGCTCCCAGGGAACCAGAGACTTGCTTAGATGGCTCCATTGCTGAGGGGGCCATTTTTATTCTCCCTCCCCTATAGTTTGTATCTTGATTTTTATGATATTTATTAATGTGGTTTTTATATTTTTATGTTTGTTTTTATCTGATTGTTGTATGCTGCCCAGAGTCACATTTGGTAATATGAGTGGCTATATAAATTTGCGGAAAGAAGGAAGGAAGTTAGTTAGTTGGCTGGCACTAGTCAGTTTTTGTGGCTAGTTACTTCCTAGTTCCCATTTAAAAATAAATTGCTGATTTAAGATAACTCATGAGCTAGCATCTGCAAATGCCTGAGCAAGCTATTAAGGAGGCTTACATGAGTTCAGGGGCCTTGGTAGATTGGAGGTTTGGGTTCAAGTATCTGTTTTACTCATTCAGAAATCTATGAGCAAGGAAACAGTTGGGCAGACTGGTATTAATAAATATAAGGTTTGTCTCTGAAGTTTTTGAGGGAAAGGATTCTGGGTTTAGATTTCTATCTACGTATGCAGTGATTTTAGCAATAATCTTAATAAGATTAGGCTGTGTCAAGGCTTTTTTGACCAACTGGCCTGCAGGAAAGTCTCTGAACCAGGAAGACAGCCAACAAAATTCAGCGCAGCTTATTTTTTTATCTCTGTCCCCATAGGGCCATTACCACCAGTGACTTTATGAGAAGGATTTGAGATACAGTGGGGCAAAAAAGTATTTAGTCAGCCACCAACTGTGCAAGTTCTCCCACTTAAAAAGATGAGAGAGGCCTGTAATTTTCATCATAGGTATACCTCAACTATGAGAGACAAAATGGGGGAAAAAATCCAGAAAATCACATTGTCTGATTTTTAAAGAATTTATTTGCAAATCATGAAGGATTTGAGATACAGTGGGGCAAAAAAGTATTTAGTCAGCCACCAATTGTGCAAGTTCTCCCACTTAAAAAGATGAGAGAGGCCTGTAATTTTCATCATAGGTATACCTCAACTATGAGAGACAAAATGGGGGAAAAAATCCAGAAAATCACATTGTCTGATTTTTAAAGAATTTATTTGCAAATCATGACCCCCATGCTTCACAGTAGGTATGGTGTTCTTTGGATGCAACTCAGCATTCTCTCTCCTCCAAACACGACGAGTTGAGTTTAGACCAAAACGTTCTACTTTGGTTTCATCTGACCATATGACATTCTCCCAATCCTCTTCTGGAAGGATTTGAGATACAGTGGGGCAAAAAAGTATTTAGTCAGCCACCAATTGTGCAAGTTCTCCCACTTAAAAAGATGAGAGAGGCCTGTAATTTTCATCATAGGTATACCTCAACTATGAGAGACAAAATGGGGGAAAAAATCCAGAAAATCACATTGTCTGATTTTTAAAGAATTTATTTGCAAATCATGACCCCCATGCTTCACAGTAGGTATGGTGTTCTTTGGATGCAACTCAGCATTCTCTCTCCTCCAAACACGACGAGTTGAGTTTAGACCAAAACGTTCTACTTTGGTTTCATCTGACCATATGACATTCTCCCAATCCTCTTCTGGAAGGATTTGAGATACAGTGGGGCAAAAAAGTATTTAGTCAGCCACCAATTGTGCAAGTTCTCCCACTTAAAAAGATGAGAGAGGCCTGTAATTTTCATCATAGGTATACCTCAACTATGAGAGACAAAATGGGGGAAAAAATCCAGAAAATCACATTGTCTGATTTTTAAAGAATTTATTTGCAAATCATGCCTCTCTCATCTTTTTAAGTGGGAGAACTTGCACAATTGGTGGCTGACTAAATACTTTTTTGCCCCACTGTATGCCTTCATTAGTTTGGATTTAAGTAATATTTATTATGTTTTTATTTACAAATGTTTATATAGCTTGTAAACCATTTTGGGAGAATTGTTGTCTTGGAATGCGGGATATAAATTAGAATAAATAAATAATAAGCCTTTGAATATGAAGGAGATGACACCAAGTTGGCTTAAAAATCCTCTTATTAATTTCAACAGGAAAAAAGATCAGCCAGCAATAGTAGAACCAAGTATTCCTGTGAAAGATGTTTGCCCTCCACCACGAAGTAAGAAATACCTTCCTCCTGAAGATCTCCAGAGTCGTCTAGAGTCTCACGTCAGAGAGATTTGGGGCTCCTCAGTTTCCAGTGACTGGCAAAGGGCATCACTAGCAGATTTCAGTTTCAAGTATCGACTCTTGGCACAAATAGCAGCAGATCTGGGACACACGGTCCCTAATAACCAGCTCCATCAAATGAAGAGTGTCAAAGATGTCCTGGCTTTCTATAACACACCCGTAAAAGACATCTCAAAGTTAGATGAGTTGGGCATGAAGGAGCTGCCGTCGAATCTGAAGATCAGTTGGGAGTATGAAGTGAAACAATGAAAGTATTGATGTGAATTGTCATCAGAAAAATAGCATCAATATAAGTGCAGATAAAACTTGTATTTTCCAGATTTCCAAAGAGTGTTTATTACCTCCCTGCAAATAATAATGATACTGTTATCCACCCAGGGGAATAATTCATGCATGATTTTTTTGTTTTTGTTTTGCTTTGTTTGGATTTTTTTTCAGGCTGTTCTTCCTTGGAGGAAATTATGGATACCGAAATGAGTGACCAGAAAATATTTGAGACTTAATTTTCCCATTCTTCTTTCTACCTTTGTTTATCCTGCATTTGTTGATTAAGGGAAGTTCTTATATTGATCATAAATAAAGTGGTGTTGAGGCAGCAATTACTTTAAGTCTATTAAACATTGGACTCCTTTCAAGTAGCAAGCTTCTGTTAATGGAATGGGAGGGAGAGAAATATGCACCATCTTAACCATTTAAGGCAGCTGTGAATAAAGGGTTCTTTCATCATTTTATTTGCTGTATTCAGTATCAAAGTAACATGATAATAAAAAAGGGCAGATTTTCTTTTATGACATCAGAAAAATAGAATCTTATGTAGGAAAATAAAATTATCTAATAGAAGAGAATATATATATCTCAGGGTCCTTGATGCTGGGGTTTGGTCCCTGTTTATATACAGTAGCTTGCCGTTCCAGTTTTCGTGTGGGTGTGGTTTCTCCTTGGCAGTTTCTTCATTAGGGTATTGTTTTCTGCCTGATAGTTTGTCTGGTGTTAATCCCTATTTATCTGAGTGTTGGCAGCCGGAGAGGATGTGTTCTGATCTTTTGGTTTCCTTCTTACCTTTTGAATGGTGTGTAAATGTGATTTATCTTTATGCATCTGTTGATGGCTGATTTCTCTGAATGCTAAGCTTCCAGGCATTCCCTAGCATTTTTGGATTTGGCTTGGTCTAAGATGCTAACAGTTTCCCAGTTGAAACTATGGTTAGGTCTGTCTATGTGTTGTGAGATTAAGGGAGTTTTCATCATGACTTCTGACTGCTAGTTGGTGTTCCTGGATGTGCTCTGCTAGTCTTCTGCCTGCCTGTCCTACATAGGAGCTGTTACAGTCCTTACACAATATGTTGTAGATGACTCCTTTTTTCTTCTTCTTTTTGGGCTACTGAGTTTTTGCTTTGCTTAAGATGTTCTGGAGGACTTTAGTTGGTTTGTGTGATGCAGTGTGGTTATAATAGTCTGTTGGTTGTTTCTGAAATGTTTTTGATATATGGTAGTGTTTTCTTTTTCATAGCTTGTGCTGGTTGTGGTGTAGTTGGTTGTGTGGTCAGGCACTTTTTGATAAAGTTGCATGGGTGTCCATTTTGTTGGAAGATGTTGTATAGGCAGTCTGTTTCCTTTTTCTGGTGTTCTGGGTTGCTGCGGTGCATTTGGGTTTGTCTGAATAATATTCTTACCCAAGTCCTCTTGTGGGAGGTTGGGCAATTACTTTGGTAATAGACCACTGGTTAGCATGGGTTGTTTTTCAATAGACTTGTGTTTTTAATTTGCCATCGTTTCCTCTGCTGAGGAGGATATCCAGGAAAGGTAGTTTGTTGTTGTTTTCTTCTTTCCTTGTGAATGTTATTCCTTTGAAGATGTTGATTGTCTCGTGTGTCTTCTGTAGATCCTTTTTTATTATGACGAAGGTGTTGTCTATGTACTGAATCCATACTTTTGGTTGTATGTGTAGGATGCTATAGTTTCCAAACACTGCATTACAGTCATGTGGCACTCCCTGTTTGTGGCAGGGGATTTCAACATCAGGGCCACGGAGGCAGATTGTCTGCTGCTGATATTGACAGAAGAAGCCGTCCCAGGTCCCTCTTCCTCCTCATCTTTGCCACATTGAACAATGTGCCCCCATGTTGCTGAGAGTCAAAGAACATCATGTGGAACATGAGGATGTGGAACTGGTGGTTCGGAACATCCTCAAGCTTTTCCCAGGCCCTCCTTGGGACTTCCAATGACCAAGATCCCTGACAAAGAGGTAGATGACTGATTGCTTAGTAAGTTCACCTATTACCATCCCCGCTGTGCCAGCCAGGTGGATTGGATCAGGGTCCCTGAGGAGGATCACCGCACGTCATCACCTCTGGATTACACCATGATCTGACTACCTACTCATATGGGTGGCCATCCACATGAAGCTGTCCTTCATTTCTCCCCGGCCCCCCGGCTCTTATCTTTCCATACCCTTGGACGATGATGAGGCTTTATGTGCTCTTCTGGCTGAATACCTTCAAGAGTTTATCTGTCAGCAACCTCTATCTGGACAAGGAAGGTGAGTGGTGGGAACACTGCAAGATGATTCACTTCTCGTGCCAGCACCAGAGCCACCACCTTTGTGACCAGGAGCTTCCACATGGCAATCTGCACCTTCATCTTTTGTCGTCGCCTATTGAATGAAGGTCACCCCATATCTGTCCAAGACCATGATCAGTGTAAGATCATGGTGTTTCAGTCTTGGCAGCAAGAGCAACACCTCTGGTTGCACCACTACAGAATGAGTGGGGCCCCCATGGGTCCCAACTGCTGGGAGGATGTAGCAGAGGCCCAACAACAACACATTGGGATGGCTTCAGACCCTGTCTCCACAGGGCACCTGGTCTACCATGTGCACAAAGCTATGGCAGGATTCCAATGGACCCCAACCATCTTGCCACTAGCCTCAAGGGGATGCTAGCTATGGTGAGGGACTATTTCAAGGCTGCCTTCACCCAACATGATGACCTTTTGCCAAAAGATTGTGCAGCCTTTAATCTTGTTGTGCCTCTTGACCCCACCAGCAAGCCTACAACCAATGAGTTAGAAGGCCTCCTGTCTGTCATCATCACGCTGGAGGAAGTAGCCCAAGTCATCCATGATGGGATTCAGTCTGTTCTGGGTCCTGACAGGTTCAGCTTTCGATCAAGCTTATGCAGATCTTTTGGCTTCTCTGCTAGAAGCCCTCTTCAATGCATTGTTTGTTGAGGTAGATCACAACACCACACAGGCAGCTATGTTGCCAAAGATCATGAGACAAGGACTATGCTTGTTTCCCAAGAAGGCTGCCAGAGATACCATGTTGCCTCATGGTTAGAGACTGGTAATCCTGATCGTGGATTATCATCTCCTAGTGAAAATCCTGAACACGTGTCTGGCAAAGGTAATCAAAAGAGCTGTCGCTACCACCCAGAGACTCCTTGTGCCTGGTCAGGGAGCTGTTTTACGTTGTAAGCTGGGACCAGTTCTGAAGTTTCCTCCTACAATTGGACCAGCCCAAAGCCTTCAACTGGGTGGACCATCATATCTATTGGATGCACTGGCCTGGCACAGAGTGCCCAAGCGCTTCAGCAACTATGTGTTGTGAGATTAAGGGAGTTTTCATCATGACTTCTGACTGCTAGTTGGTGTTCCCACATGGCCCCACACATTGCCTTCTTTCATGACTCTCCCCTGTCATTACTGTATTCCTGTCAACCACTTCCCTGGGTTGTCCGGATGATGAGGAGAGTCTGGGGAAAGGGATGGGATTCTCATGTGCAACTTGAGGAAGGACATCTACAAGGAAGCACTCCATTTGGTCCTTCCTCAGCTCTGGCTAGAGTCCCTTAAGAGAAGGGCATGCTCTGGAGTCCTGCATTCAGGGGATCCATTCCCTGAATATCTTGCCAAATACCCTGAAGCTGCTTGGGTCACTTTCAGGAACAGGAGGGTGCTGTAGTCCCTGTGGGATGTGTGCTGGCAGCACTTCCATCAAGTACCTGATGTCACAGTGATCCACCCCTGTCTGGAATGGAGCACTCGAGTCTCCTTCCAGCCACTGTGCCCTTGATCACATTGCCTTTACTTAAAAGCAATTGCAAACTATCCAATTTGTGATGAATGGGTGCCTGATGGTGGGAGAGGAGAATCTCACAGGGAGATTCAGGTGGCCAGACCTCTTACACATATCCTGGCAGATCATTGCTTCAGGTCTGGAGCTAAGTGACCTTGATCCATCTTTCAGCAACCCCTTATGGGTCACAGAGGGTCAGCTGCTAACTGATACTTGATCCCTGCAGCCAGATCAGTGGGGACAACAGTGGAGGCAGGGTTTTCTTCTGCAGCAGCAACAAAGACAGCAGATCCATTAACTGACTGATCAAGGTCCCTACTGACTGCCACAGCACCAACACCACCGTAACATTTACTAGCCAAAATCAACAACAGGCAACTAGCAGCTGAGTGATCAACAGCATCCCAGAGAAGAGAGAGAGTGCAACGGCAGCAGCGACAGTAGCAGCACTGGTCCATTCCAGTGTCTCCTCCTACTCTCAGTGCTCCAAGCAGTGTTGGAGGTGCAGCATAACTATCACATCCTTCATCAGATTTCCCTCCCAATGAGAGAAGGCACTCAGGAAGAACAAGCTTTGTCTTCCACAACAGCTTCAAAGATAGGGCAATGTTACAGACTGCAGGGCAGACAAATAATGTCGTATTTGTGGTGTCACCATCTTTGGCCTTGGGGAGACTAAGGAGTGGACACTCCAATGATGTCATGGTTCTCCATATAGGAGCACCAAAAACTTTAAAGTTGGGGCTTTACAGATGTTTAGAAAAGCTCATTTTCATTTGGATCATTACTGGGGCTCAGACTCAGGAATAAGGAAGAGGAGGAATAAGGGGTGGCTTACGTTACATTTTATTTTTTGTGTGTTTCCATTAACTTGCTCATCAACAATTTTTAGGGACAAGTTGGTGCACATGTACAAGGCTTTTCCATTTCAATTAAAAAAAAAATATTCCTTAGGCAAAAATATTTCACTCCCTAATCCTAGATCCAATTTTCACTCAGAATAGGATTTTCCCATCCACTTTACCCACAACTCATATTAACTCAGAAAGGACACATGTCACCCTCAATTTCCTTAAAGAGCCTCTGTGAATCCAACTGTCACATTGGGTTAGGGCCCGGGCTTCAAGGAAGCCTAACTATAATGTTACATCAAACCCTAACCTTAGCTCCAGTTTTAACTCGAAAAATGATTTCCCCATGAATTTTGCCCAGCACCCAAATTAATTCAGAAAGAAAGGCATCACCGTCACTTTCCTTAAAGAGTCTTGGCAAATACAATTATGTTAGTTTTTGGCCCTGACTTCAAGGAACCCAAACCCTTAAACTAACCCTAGCTAAAAATTTCAATACGAATAGGATTTTCCATGAATTTTCCTCAGCACCCAAATTAAATCAAAAAGGACAATGATCAACGTCCCTTTGTTTAAGTAGCCACTGCAAACCTGACCATCATGTTAGTCTTGGGAACAGACTTCAAAAAAGCCTAAACCCTTAGCTATGATTTTAAATCCGAATAAAATATTCCCATGTATTTTGTCCAAGATCCAAATCTGATCAGAGAGGAATGGTATCATTCTCACTTTCATTAAAGAGTCTCTACAAATCTGACCGTCACATCATTACAGGGCACAGACTTTGAGGAAACCCATGCA